AATAAAAATTAATTAATAATGGCGAGATACTTGAATGGGAAAATCGGTAAAAAGAACCGAGAGGAATCAATGTTCAAAAGGAAATATTTTGTTGTGAAAGGAAATATGGAATGATGTTTTATAAAGGTAAATGGGAGGAGTCCGTAAAGGGAGGAGGTGTTTTTTGAAGAATTAACAAAAGGCAAAGAAAAAATCGGTAATAGATACAAAAATGTATAAAGACAGGAAAGCAAAATGCGTAGCCGCAAAATGTTTTGTGGATTGGCTTGACCCTAGCCCACAGAGACTCAAAGTCAAAGGGCAACCCCTAAGCCGCAAAATCTCAACCAAAACCCCACAACGAAACATCCTGCAATCCCCCCTTAAAGCAGAGACTGAGAACACTATCAAAAGTCAATTACAATGCAATTATTGTGGGCCCTTGCCCCGCCCCCCGCTCGAAGGAAAACCAGAAAAACATTTTGAAAAGCCATTGAAAAACTTTAATTGAAAATATCAAATTATTTTCGAGTTGGCGTCAGCAGAATAAAAACCAAAACTGGCGTCCAATAAAGCCAAGGGGGGAGTAAAGGTGTGAGAGGTGGTCCGAGATATATGTGTATGTGTGGGTGTGTGTATATCATTAATTATGTGGCCAGATTGTAGTGGCGACAACTTTGCTTTCGAAAGAAAGTTGACTCCGGAAAAGTGGCCGAGAGCCAGGAGTCGGGCGAAATTCTAATGAGTTGGCATTTTCTGAAATTGTCTGAGACACAAAATCTTCCTCTGGAAGCATCACCCCATCAGCAGATCCCCAGGAATTTCTCGTTGTAAAGTAGCTGAAATGACATTAAAAAGGCAAAACCAAGCAGAAAGGACATCCACATCCGCATCCTTATGGGCACTAACCAGAGACACACACAGACACACACACATAGGGGAAGGATAATTCTTCTTCAACCCTGTGCTCCTCCTGCCATCTGCTTCCATCGTTTTATAGTTTACAATCTTATTATCTTTGCTTGGGCATCTCAAGTCCCATCTCATAGACACCATAGCCACAGGACCATCCCCACACACCCCCACACACACACACATTTTCCTAAGGCAATTAAAAATCTTCACACTGTCGTTGATGATGTCCTTTTCCTGCCCTGCCCTGCCCTGCCCTGCTCTGCTCTGCTTTTCGGCTGTTTTGTTGTCTTTTCGCCTCGTTTTGTCCTTGGGGCCAAACTTGATTTTGTTTATTAAACATATTTTGCATAAAATTCACTTTATTTGCAGTTTATTTCATAAGAAAATTACATTTCCCAGCGAGTGGGCCATGCTTGATAGTTTTTCCCCTCCCTGGAAGGATGGAAGGATGGGGTCCAAGGAGTGCACCTTATTCTTTGATTATGTTTGATCACGTTCTGTTGGAGAGTTTATTTGTTGGCTGGAGGAGAGCCATTGTTTGGCAGTGGCTGGAGGTGGAGATGGAGAGGCCCTTCCGAGGTGTGGATTTGGAGGGCAAGTGCGGAATAGTTGGATGGTAGAGATGGTAGAGGATGTGCTAGATGCGATACCTGTATTTATTTTAGAAGAAGCATCTTTTTGGGATCCTTAGAACGAGAACTTGGAAAAACTGGAAGAGATATTTGTTCAAGAGGAGCAACCAAGGCCCCAAGTACTAGATGATACTTTTTGGTGAAAGAACTCGCACAAATTAACCGAATATTCACCGCCTTAATCCCGAAACAACCCCAACCATCTCTTATTAATTTTCGTGGTACCTACACCCATTCAACCACCCCCCCCCGTCCATCATTTCACGCTGCTCTTATCTAACACTGGAACATTTTCGCCCTCCCCCATGGACCAAGCCGAGTGAAGTCACACATGAAAATCCCATAAAAATTGACAATAATAACCCACATATCATCATTGCTCTCTCCCTCCCCCTCCCCGCCGGCACATATGCACAGACGTACGTTCCACACGATAAGAAGTCAACGCCTGCAAATCAACCAGAAATCGCAATCCACTCCCTTAAGGACAGAAGTAGAGCCAAAACCAAAACCAAAACCGAATGAAGAAGAAAATCCCATAAAAAACAGTTCAATGATATAGAAAAATAGATAAAGCGAAATTTGCAAAAAATAACAACAATGCAGAAAAGAGAGAGAGAGAAACACACAAAGAGGGGAAATGGAAAGTGGAAAAAGGGAAAACGCGTGGCAAAGGCATGAACTTTAAACTAAGCCGCAAAAGGCACTTGAATCGAGTTTTGGGAAGCGACTACCGAGTGCCCCACCACGGTGTTGTCAAGTGAATAATGGGACAAATCCGCAGAGTAAATATGACACGTTGCAAAATGCCATTCGATGATAAAAAAAAAAGAGAAGCAGAAACGAGTGCTTGAACCCACCCACTCGTACACCCACATTTGATGAACCCTTCCACCACCCCCAGAGGACTGTCACTGACAGTCACACATCCTTTCACGAAAGGTGTTTTGACAAGGCGTCATGGCAAGTCAAAAGTGCAGACACAACAGGCGAAGGAGCATGAGACGGAGCTGGAGGTGGAGCTGGAGCAGTGGGCACACACCCTTTGCTACCGAACCGTAAGCGTATCAATAAAAAGATTGCTCCGCTGGGCATACGCAGTCTGAAAATGTTTGTTTGATAAGCCCAAGGATAGGGCGTAATACAAATATTACGCCTTTTTATGGTGAAAGCGAAGAGGGCAAACCGAATGTGGCATAAACATTACAAAGGGTTGCCACAGCCCCCTCCCTCCTGCCCCGAGAGAGAAGTTATGTCTCTGTGACATTGAATCTTTATGTGTGCATTCGATATGCATTAAAATTCAATAATAATAAAAGCAATACACAAAGTGAAAGACAAAAACCATGGAGAACTCCCCCAATTAACCCTTGAAGAGACCGCACGAAGAGGGGAAGTACTAGCTCTCCGTCGGAGGCAATATGAACGTCACATAAATCTTGGCAACACTACTACTAAGTCGCTATTAAGTAAAATTGACCACATATTTTATCTCATATGCGCACGCCACAAACGGAGCAGCCAGAGTCTCCGGCTCCACTATTTCTGGGGCAGATGGGGATGGAAGGACAAAACAGCAGCCCAGCGCCATACAAAACAGATACCAGAACAATGTCCGAGTAAATTAAATCAAAGCCTGAACGGACTCACCAAATTAGATGGATGAAGGGAGGAGGCTAGAGTAGGACTGTGCCTGGGGTCAAGGGAAATTAAAGGACCAGCGAAATGGGACGTAAATACTCGTATACGAACAACTTGTTGAGTTTTTGTGGCAACAAGTTGAAGAGAAAATTTGCTATAACTATTCAAATAACATATGGCATGATTAAAAGTTAAGTTTAAAATTATATTTTTTAATTAAATTACAAATTGTCCGGCGAAAAATTTCGAATTTAAATTTACAAGGCTGCCAGACTTTTTAAAAAGGGTAAAATTTACAAAAAGATCCTTGCTACGAGGCTTAATTTAAATTTAAATTTACAAGGCTGCCAGACATTTAAGAAAGGTTCAATTTTCAAAAAGATCCTTGCTACGATACCAAATTTCAAATTGAAAGTTACAAAGCTGCCAGACAGTATCAAATATATCCTTGCTACGAACCAAAAACTCAAGCTCAAATTTACAAAGCTGCCAGACATTTTAAAAAAGGTCCAACTTACAAAACAAAATCCTTGCTAAGACACGAAAATTCAAATTTATAAGGCTGCCAGACCTATCAAAAAAGTTATACTTTGTAAAAAGCTCCTTGCTCTGGCACGAGGCAAGCGACTCTGCTACTTGAAGTACCCGAATAACAATGATAATAGCGACACAACAATATATCAACGTACTTCACTACTATTCCATCTAAATAAATTAATTAAGCATTTTGTTTAACGGAATTTCGTGGAGGGCAGACAGAGAGTGATAGATAGAGACAGATAGAGAGAGAGGGAGAGAGAAGTGTTCTGCTCCTGCTGATTAGCCACATTTGGAGATAGATTCGGATATTTAAAGACTCTCAAGTTTTCCATATGTGAGTCCATAATATAATGTCAATCGTTTGTCTGGCTTTAGTGTATTCTATTGTGGCGGGCGAGAGTCCAGTCCTCGCTCACATTGTAGGGTCCTTCGATGTGGGATCCGTTGGCGTTGCAGACGCCCACCGTGTAGTAGGGAATTGCACGAGCGTCGCGATTGTTCAACGTCTCCATGCCCTGGCGGATCATGGCTAGGGCCTCCTCCTCCGTAAACTCTCGGTCCTTCGGCTTGCTGTCGCGCACCATGGGCAGGACCATTTGCTGGGCTGTGTCAGTGGTCGCCACGTAGTCCTCAACGATGAGTCCCCGACTATCAATGTAGGCGAGGTAGGGTCCCGCCTGCGGTTCCATTCCACCCACAACTACAGCCACAGCCGAGAAATCATTGGAGCTGCGACGAGTGTACGTGGTACTCCGAAACCAGCCGGCCAGGGTCTTGGGTTTCATTTCGGTGGTGTCCTGGTAAATCCGATCCGTTACGACCTGCGCATCAATCGTCCGCTTGTACATCTGAATATCGGCAAAGTCACCGCCTCCGCCCATAACAATCTGCTCGTTGATCTTAAAGACTCGATCCACGTTCTGGAACCGAGGCGTCGATCCGAAGTGGACACAGTTGTCGGCTGCCACCAGAACCCCTTGGTCGTAGCGAATTCCGATGACGGAGCCTCCCGCGGTGACGGTCTGACCGAACGGATCGTCGTTGATCCCAATGAACTTCAGGAACTGGGCCACCTCCTCCGGGCTGGCCCTTTCGTAATCCCCGTTGATCATTTCTATTTTCAGAGAGACGTTTTCTACGACTGACTTCTTTGGGAATACTTTTTGGAATGTATATTCCAGCCTACTTGATCATTAGATGCCAATTGGAAGGTCTCTGCCTTGATAGGGGACTCCTGTACACAGCAGCGAACTCTAATCTATACCACAAATTAAACAATTAACTATTCTCCGCTGTGATTAAAAAAATAACAATCTATATAGGGGTATATTGAATTGTACAAATGCTAAAACTTCAACTATATTATTTTGTACCTTTAAAAACGATTAAACTTTGAGATACTGTTCGGGATGATCTAGAAAGGCTTCCAAAAAGGCCACTCCCGTGGGCAGAAACTGAATATTTTCGTTGAAGAAATGTAGCTTTGGCTGCAGAATATCCCTGAACGAAATTGCCTCGACATTGGCGATTTCAATCACGAAATCGGTCTTCTCCAAGCGCGTGCGTGTATCCACCTCAATGTGCCGGCGCACAGTCTTCTTGACAACGATTCGATTGGCTTGCCTGAAAGGAAAAACAAGAAATAAAATCGAAGACACACGGGATAATGAACAATGTACCTTAGAAGATTCGCCCTTGTTGCTGTGAGCACCGCCAATAGCTTGTGGAATGTGCGTAGTATGTCCACACAAATGGCATCTATGCGTTGCAGAAACTGTGCGAAGGCCTCCACGCTGCTGCCCTCGATCGAGTCGGTGAGATTTACTGGCAGCTTGAGCTGCAGCTGAAAGTCGAGCAGGTGCTCAAACGCCGTCCAGCTCTGCAGTGGCAGAATGACTGTGGCCTGTTCCACATTGATGGCGCACACCCGTATGGCTGTCTCCAACTCGTCCACAGTCTCGTAGTCAACGATCAGGCGGAATGTGGTGAGCAGTCGATGGGTGAAGATCAATTTCTGGGAGACCTTTAGCTGGTAGTCAAATATCCAGTTGGGCTGCTGCTCGCCCAGCATGTCCTGCAGGCGATCGAAGAACGTTTCCACTGGTTCCAGTGGGACGAGCATCTGCTGAAGCACTTCCTGGTTGTCGGCCAGACTGCGCTTGAATCTAGGTGGCGGAGCGGGTTAGAATGGATGCCTGGAAAACTTTGTATTTCAATGGATCTCACCTTTCCATCTTCCTTTTGTAGGTTGCCATCACCTCGTTCACGTCCCACTCGCTGAACTCTTCCTCCTCGGACGCCTCACTCGAACTGTCCAGCTCTTTCTCCAGGGCGATCGTCTGCCTCTCCTGCTCCTTGATCTGCCAGTACTTGTGCACGTCGTCCAGGTTGGGCTTCGCTCTCACGCGTCGCAGCATTTCAATTTCCCGCGTCATATCCCACTGCGGCTGGGTGGGCAGGACAAAGGAGTCGTTGCTCAGCCTTGGCTCACTCAGGGATCTCCTGCAGTTCGCGCACTTCCTGCAGGACGCACTGGACCCAGCAGCCACCACTCGAGAGCTCTCCTGCTGCTCCTGGCAGTGCTCAGGCTCAGGCTCTGGCTGAGGCTGAGGCTCAGGCTGTTTGGGTAGTGCCACGGCGTCCTCAGCCGGTGCCTCCTCATCCGTGTCCGGCTCATCGGCCAGAGTGGAGACCAAACTGAGCCGTACATTGTCTATCTGGTTGTTCTCCTGTTGATCCACGTCAATGGTCTCCACTATGGCAGCCGAAAAGATGGTCGTGTCCCCGGACAGATTGATGAACCTCTTGTTTGTGGGTGCGTAGCTCTTGAACGAACGGTCTGTGGAGCTTCCACTGTCCCTGGGGCAAGTGTCGCGCTCCACCTCCATCGTACCCTCAGCCGGCTCCTTCTTCACCTTGCACGACAGATTTTTGAAGTAGGCCGACACATCTGAAACGGTGATGGGTCTCTCCTCGAATACAGTGGATCGCGACATGTGCTCTCCAATAAGGCCTCTCACGGGCTGCAAGGTCAAGTCGAAGTTCATGTCCACCGCTGCCGTCACTTCTTTAATGGCAATACTCGCCTCCATCTCCTGCTCCATCTCCATATCCCCAAAGAGATGGGTATTGCGCTTTTTGGCCTCTGGCAGATTGGGCGTGAGGTGGGCGAACAATCGCTTGGCATCTCCACTGTGCCGTGTAGGAGTGCCACATCCCAAGGCATCGCCCTCCAAACTCATTCTCATGGACTCGCCCATGGAGCGTATTTTCTGCAGCAATGCCGATGTCTTAGGAAGCGGACCGCGAGGCGTAGCCGCCTGATTGGTCTCTTCCTCGAACTTTTCAAACTCATTCATGGAATTAAGTGACCCTGATCCATTTTGTTTTAACATGGGAGTGATCGGAAGGAGTTCCGGGGGAGCTCCTGTTGATTGAAGGGGGCTCTGGAAGTCGGCCGCCTTCTCCGCCTCCTCTTCCATAGATTCAGACATGATCAATGTCTGTTGGGACCGGGATCCACGATTTGCTGACTTCTCGAATGGTGGTTCCTTCGGGTGCTCCTCCTCCTCCTCCTCTTCCATAGATTCAGACATGATCAATGTCTGTTGGGACCGGGATCCACGATTTGCAGACTTCTCGAATGCGGGTTCCTTCGGGTGCTCCTCCTCCTCCTCCTCTTCTTCCATAGATTCAGACATGATCAATGTCTGTTCAGCCCGGGATCCACGATTTGGAGCCACTTTTGTAGACTTCTCGAGTGGTGGTTCCCTCAACTGCTCCTCCTCCTCCATGGAGGTGGCCAAGAGCAGAGTCTGGCGAGCTTTAGACGTCCGAACGGCTGTCATATTTTCTTCATTAAGTTCCGCCAGCATAATAGTATTTCTGGATTTGAAGGCCACCGACTCCTCCCTGGATTCGTGAGTGTTTCTCGGTTTGGAACTCTGGTATGCAATGGAATAGTCCTCCTCGATGGGTACTGCCGTAAGCAGTGTTTGCCTAGATCTCGACGAACGATCTCCAGTGGGCACATGATGCTCCTGAACGGCTTCAGCCAGGTGCTCATAATCTTTCCTTATGGCCCCAGTGGCTGCATAGTTAAACTCTTCCTCTATTGGTTCCGCCTGAAGAATAGTCTGCCTGGCTTTGGATCTCCGATTTCCCATTGGTAGATTCTGCTGAAGGGCTTCATTCCTTATGAAGCTTGCTTCCGATTGCAGAATACTCTGGCTAGCTTTGGATCTCTGATTCGTCATTGGTAGATGTTCCTGAACGGCTTCAGCCAGCTGCTTACGATCTTTCCTCATGGCCCCAGTGGCTGCATAGTCAAACTCTTCCTCTATTGGTTCCGCCTGAAGTATAGTCTGTCTAGCCTTGGGTCTCTGATTTCCCATTGGTAGATTCTGCTGAAGGGCTTCTTTCCTTATGGCCCCAGTAGCTCCATCAACATCTTCCTCTATTGCTTCCGATTGCAGAATACTCTGGCTAGCCTTGGATCTCTGATTCGTCTGTTCCTGAACGGATGCAGCCAGCTGCTTACGATCTTTCCTCATGGCCCCTGTGGCTGCATAGTCAAACTCTCCTTCTATGGGTTCCGCCTGAAGAATAGTCTGCCTGGCTTTGGATCTCTGATTTCCCATTGGTAGATTCTGCTGAAGGGCTTCTTTCCTTATGGCCCCAGTAGCTGCATCGTCAACATCTTCCTCTATTGGTTCCGACTGAAGAATAGTCTGTCTGGCTTTGGATCTTTGATATCCCATTGGTAGATGTTTCTGACCGGCTTCCGCCAGGTGCTCATAATCTTTCCTTACGGCCCCAGTGGCTGCATCGTCAACATCTTCCACTATTGCTTCCGATTGAAGAATAGTCTGTCTGGCTTTCGATCTCTGATTTCCTATTGGTACATGCTTCTGAACGGATTTGTTTTGTATTGCCCCCGTTGCGGTGACATCTTCCTCAATTGGTTCCGTTTGAAGAATAGTCTGCCTGGCTTTCGATCTCTGATTTCCCATGGGTAGATTCTGCTGAACGGCTTTATTCCTTATGGCCCCAGTAGCTGCATTGTCGACATCTTCCTCTATTGGTTCCTCCTGAAGAATAGTCTGCCTAGCTTTGGACCTCTGATTTCCCATTTGAAGATGCTCCTGAACGGCTTCAGCCAGGTGCCTACGATCTTTCCTTATGGCCTCAGTGGCTGCAGCATTCCGGGGGAGGGCTTCGTCTTCCTCCAACGGTTCCGCCAAGTGGAGAGTGTGACGGGACTTAGGTCCCTTTGCCGGATCAGCATTTCCCTTGAGATGCAGCTCCTTGAGAGGACTTATAATATCCTCTTCCATGCTCTCCTCCATGAGCAAAGTCTCCCTACGTTTCGATTTGGTGCGGTTGCGCGGCACGTTATCCTCGGACTGGATGGCTCTGGCTTTCTCGTCGACAATATTTTCCTGGTCCATGGACTCGTTCAGGCTGAAGGTACGTCTGGCAGAGGAGGCGCGCTCTGGAGGGATGGCGGCAGCAGCATCTTCCAAGCGAAACACATCCTGCTCCATTTCCGCAGACAGATGAATGGTCTGTCTGGGCTTGGAATGCTTCGATGGTGCCTCCTGCATGGTGGATGGTTGGAAGTCCGGTCTGCAGCTGCTGTTCCTCTTGGGCGTTCCCAAATCGAGCTCCGAGCTTTCATATGTAGACTCTCTCCTCGATAAGACCTTGGAACTATTGCGAGATTGGGTCTCATCGCCCAGTTTGGCATGTGCCAGGAAGTTCGTGTTGTCCAGCATCATCTCATCCGCCTGCGAGACCCGATACTTGCGCTTATCATCCGGTATCTTTAGCTTTTCCCGCGGCAACGGCTCTGCTACTGCCGCTACTGTTACTGGCGCTGTTTGTGCCAAGGGGGACATGGTCATATTCTCACTGAAATTTAAAGTTGCGCGCGGCTTGATGCTCCTTATGTTGATGTCCATTGGATCCTGATCCTGATCCTCATCTAGGCCATGCCAGAACCTCTTATGCTTGGCCTTGCGATCTGTGCACGGGGTCCTGGGGCCGTTCGCAAAGACCTTAATCTTTCCCGCTTCCAGGTCATCGTTCAGTTGACGAAAGTTCAGCTTCTTGCTGATGTTTTCCCCAGAAATCATGTCGAATGGAATGAGAACAGACTCGTCTCCCAGGTAGTTGATGGTACTATTGTTGGGCTCTGTCTGAAAGAAGCCATGTGACGACAGTCGGTCTCTGGCATCGGAATCTGCAAGAGAGCAAATGTTTTCATATTAAGAGCTGTTCAAAGGAAGAGAGTAAGCAAAAGAAACCAACCATTCATGTCGCAGTCAAAGGATATATCTGCCTGCCTCTGGATCTCCTTTTGGCCCTCTTCCACCTCCATATGCACCAATTTCTGAACAGGATCAACATTCTCCTTTTCTACTGGGACGAGTACTGCAGCAGCTGCAGAAGTAACTGGACCAGTATATCCCAGTGGCGTGATGTCCATAAAGGAATCACCCACAGATTTCGTTGGTTGTGTTTTAATATTTTCCATTTCAAACGAGGACAACTCCAACGAGCAGTCTTCCCTAACTTTGGATGAGATCTGCATCAGATCTATGGTCTTGTCCGTGATTCGATGGCTGTACAGCGTATCCTTTAGCTTGTCCCGCCCCATCGAAGAGAGAGAGAAACTCTCGGCAAACAGCGACTCGCGGGGCACCGAACAATTGGGGCGATTGCGATTCTTTTCACATGGAAACATGGGCACATCGATGCTCGTCCGCAGGTTCAACGTCATATCGATTCTGGTGCTTGCATGTTCAAACTGCAGCGGTATATTCTCTTTGTCCGCTGTCGGCGCCTGCTGGCTGGGGCCAGCTTTCGGCGCCTTCTCTCTGCTGTTGTCTTCGCCATTGGTGATTTCCGATAATTCGTAGGAGTCTTCCCAATAGTGAGGCTCCTCCGTATTCACGAACTCTCTGTGAAGCAGTACAGTATTATTTCCGTAAATTAAATGAATCAAACGATTGTACACTTACCTCACGGACTTCTTGCCACTAAAGCTGATGCGACGCTTGAGCACGCAATTCTGCGTCCCCGCTGCCGCTGTCTGATCGTCATCTCTGGCTGGCGGCTGCCGCAACTGAAAATATTAATGTAAAATAGTTGAAACACAGACACGAGTGGGCATATATATGTAGTTTATACACTCACCGAACTCCTGCGCTTATTTTTCTCCATTTTAATGCAAAATAATGCATTCGATGCCGCTATTTTTGTTTGAATGGTCGGGCATGCCAACTTGTTCTAATAAACAAACTGTGAATGTCAAATTGTAGGCGTCGAATGCGTGTGCATGATGCGCAGCAATAACGAGGTGGCGCTTTTTTAAGACGCGTCTTAGATTCACCCTCTTGTGCCAATGCACCAATGTAGAAACCGTGTAGAAATACCACTTAGAGCCGTGTCCCAGACCACATCGAATACTGATTCGTGATCAGCATCGAAATCCCGATCGTTTGCCATCAAAATTGAGATTTTTTCGAAAATGTCGGAAAAAAGGGCATGTAAAAAAGTGGGTAACGGAGGTTTTTCACACTGGCGCTTCCATGGGGCTTATATGAAAAAAAACGGCCAAACATTTTTCGAATCGTACACATTTCCCCTTCAGGTGTCGCCTTTGATAACTACATGAAAATGTAGTTAGTATGTGTAGTTAGAAATTGTGTAGTAAACTAGTAAATTAAACTGTTTTTTTGTTTTAACCTTATTTTATAAACAATCCAATAAAGATGAGAACTTAAAGTTAACAAGTCTTGTGGGAAATTGATGTAGTAGTCGGTTAAAATAATAAGTTCAGAGCTGAGGGTCTTAGCTAGCTGGTAATATTCAACCGAATATCAAAAACGATGGAATTGATGCAACTTGGAATACAAAATATATTACGGTATATTTTGAAATTGTTGACGTTTTAAAGAGGTAGGATAGGGGATGGATTCTCCCGTTGGTCACCCGTTTAAACAGAGGGGGTCTAAGTGGGTTAAGTTAGATTTTCATCGCTATGTTTTATCGGTAGTGGTAGTGACGTGGTAAATAAAAAAAAATATAAAAGACGCCTCGCATTCTACACGTATTTCTTAAAGAAGTGATTAACAGGCAGCGGAGCATTGGTTTGATAAGCACAACCGAAAAGTGCCAATAGAATCCTACGTTAAGTACAACTTTAGGGACACGTAAGCTAAGACCGGCATATTCCATCTAAAGAAGAAGAGAAGCAATGAGACAGCTGTGTAAGTACAACATTTCTTTGGAATATCTCAAATGGATATCATAAACATACAATACACCCCCACACAGCGAGCCTTTTGTTGTTGGCATTCATTGCCAGCGGCAGTGTCAATGCCTTCTATTCGCCCTCCGATGGCGTCGTGGAGTTGACGCCCTCCAATTTCGATCGCGAAGTCGTGCAAGATGATGCCGTCTGGATTGTGGAATTCTATGCCCCGTGGTGCGGCCACTGCCAGTCTTTGGTGCCGGAGTATAAGAAGTTGGCCAAAGCCCTGAAGGGCGTCGTCAAGGTGGGCTCCGTCAATGCCGATTCCGACAGCACCCTCAGCGGCCAGTTCGGAGTACGTGGCTTTCCCACCATCAAGATCTTTGGCAGCAACAAGCGTTCGCCCACGGACTTTAATGGCCAGCGCACAGCTAAGGCAATTGCGGAGGCGGCTCTTGCCGAGGTAAAGAAGAAGGTGCAAGCAGCTCTGGGCGGCGGAAGCAGCGGCGGCGGTGGCGGAAGCAGCTCATCCAGCGATGATGATGTCATTGAATTAACCGAAGATAACTTCGACAAGCTGGTGCTCAACTCAGATGACATTTGGCTGGTGGAGTTCTTCGCGCCGTGGTGCGGACATTGCAAAAATCTGGCACCCGAATGGGCCAAGGCTGCCAAGGAGCTCAAGGGCAAGGTGAAGCTGGGCGCCTTGGACGCCACCGCCCACCAGAGCAAGGCGGCCGAGTACAATGTTCGCGGTTATCCGACAATCAAGTTCTTCGCTGCCGGCTCGAAGAGTGCCAGCGATGCTCAGGAATATCAGGGTGGACGCACAGCCTCGGACATTGTCAGCTGGGCCAGTGACAAGCATACGGAGAATGTGCCCGCTCCCGAGCTGGTAGAAATCACCAGCGAATCCACCCTAGATAGCACCTGCGAGGGCAAGCCCCTGTGCATTATCTCTATTCTGCCACACATTCTAGACTGCGATGCCAAGTGCCGCAACAAGTTCCTCGCCACACTGCGCACCCTGGGCGATAAGTACAAGCAGAAGCTGTGGGGCTGGGCCTGGGCTGAGGGTGGCCAGCAGCCGGCTCTGGAGGAGTCCCTGGAAGTTGGAGGCTTTGGCTATCCCGCTCTGGCAGTAGTTAATTTTAAGAAAATGAAGTTCTCAGTGCTGAAGGGCTCCTTCTCCAAGGACGGCATCAACGAGTTCCTACGCGACATCTCATACGGACGCGGTCACACGGCTCCCGTGCGTGGCGCCAAGAAGCCCACGATTGCCAGCGTCGATCCCTGGGATGGCAAGGATGGCCAGCTACCCACCGAAGAGGACATCGATCTGAGCGACATTGATCTGGATGATGATGTCAAGGATGAGCTCTAGAGCGGTCTTCTCTCCCATCACTCTACCATCAAGACTGCAGCCTAAGCTCAAAATTTCCACACCTAATGAACACATTTCTAACGAAATACTGCATTTTGAAACGATATAAGGAACTTCATAAGTCAGCCATCGTATCTTAATATAAATAATTATTATCTATTAGCTTTTTCTACTACTTTCCTCATACTAGATCTAAATGAATTGAAACCAGCGAACATGAGAATTGTGTACCATGAAATGAATAAAATTGTGCAACAAACAAACGAGTCAATTATAGGCGGGTGTTAATCTGATTCCCTCTATAAAGATAGATCCCAAGAGATGCATGAATGCTTTATTCATAATTGATGGAATGCAGAATAGAAAAGAACTTAATTTATTCTATAGCATAAAATGCATACTAATTTCTGTAGGATTCCCAATCGGTGACTCGAGATCTAAATAGTCATTATTTCACATTATAATCGATTCGGTTCGATCTGATTCATAAACCAGTTTTTGGTTGGACCCAATTGCGTTACTGGTTATATTTTGTGCCTAAAATAGAATAATTGGTGCAAGAAATCAGTTTGCCCCTTCATACTTTGCTTTAAATTTAAGATGTCTTCAGTATGTAGGACCCCCTGAGACCTCTAAGAACTATTCTACCTCATAGCATGAAGAGTTTCTGTAAATTTCGCCAGAGCATAAAGAGCACAATACCCCAACAAACATTTACTTCGTTACACCATTCAATCCGTGGCAGTTTATTTTTTGTAAAAATTCTCATAAAAATGTCCAAAAATGTATAATTATAAAGTGGTTTACGCTTAAATCCTAAATGACGTCTAAAAACGTACATAATTTGACACATTTGATAGTTTAGATGCAGCACTAAATGCATTACGAATGGAAGGTACTCGTATCTTGGTGGCAAATCGATTGGCGCTTAAACTATGATTGGCATGACATATACTCTATTAAGTACTTGGTTTCGATTTAAGTACAACCTGTAGGCAAATGATTTATAGGATGGGAAAAATTCAAGCATCACAAAGAGTTCAATTCGATCGGGGTTTTCGTTTCGTTTCGTTTCTTACCAGAGATATGAGATAATATATGCAATTCGATATGTAAATTAGGGCGAAAGAAGTTCGTTCACACAGACGCAGGCAAAGCAGAGTCTTGCTTGCCAAATTTTAAGATATTTCATCAGAAACAACGCCGCACAACGTGACTCAATTGCCACACTTTGGCTTTGTCTTGGGACATTCGGACAGACTCGGCCAGCGCAGAGTGTAAACGTTTTGGACGCGGCCGGGCTGAGAGACTACCTGCATAAAAAGAAATAAAAACTGTTGGCCTCAGCATGAAAACGGCCAAAGAACGGGGCCCGGACGAGCCAGAGAAAGGGAAAATGAGAAGGAGGTGGGGTGAAAAAGGGTCTCTGCAGGCCAGGCAAACTTGTTGCGCTGTCGAGAACCTACAGTAAATGTACACGCATGAACGAAACAACAGATAAACAGAGAAACAAAGACAGAGACAGAGACAGACAGACACCTTGAGGAGGGATGTGGATGTGGGATCCGTAGGAAACCCAATTTACAATTATGAATGATTAATTCCCATTCGTTCTTCGTGCTCAACTGGTTATTGCTATGTTAATACTAAATATTTTAAGCATAATTATTTTGAATTTTGTTTCGTGTTTCTTCGTGGAAAAGTCTTTTGCATCCGAATCGATTCGGAAAACTATTCTACGATACTCTCCTAGGGGCTAATCAATCAATAATTTCGGAGAATCAGGCAAGTTGATGGTGGTGCTTCTGCTCAGGATAGTTCTCTATCGACTGAATAGAGCGCGATGTGGCCGCGGTGATTGTGGAGGATACATCCATGAAGCGATACTTTTTCTCATCTCGACACAACAGCGGATAGCAAATAATGCCGTAGTAGAAGATCAGGCAAAGCACGATGACCGTGAATATGATAAGGATGATGCCGAAGGTGCTGAGGCCCGCCCTACTGTCCAGATACTCCTTGGGCGTCTGCGGTGGCGGCGTAGTGGGGGGCGCTTCAGCTACCTTGTAGCCTCTGTAATAGCTGCTGCGCGATGCATTTACGGTGGCAATCAGGCAAGTGCAGGCTACGTGCCCCAGAAAGGGGGTGAAAATGAGAGCGAGAACATGCATTTCAATAACTTTCACACACCGCTAACCCGCTTCCACAACTCACCCAACACCAGCAGACACGCGATATAGGCACTGCGCGACATTTTACTAATTCAATTTAATGCTAAACCACGCACAGCAAGCAGATAACGTTATTTTTTATTTACGCGTTCGACGCAGACGCAGCAGCCTCCGATAAAATACACCAGTGCGATCGATAAAATATACCGTCGACCCTCAGAAATATACCGTCTAGATAGCAAGATATACCGTAAATATACCGATTAACTCAAGAACTTAACCCACTGCACCCCCTCTATTTAAACAGGTGGGTTAAAGCATAGACCTAAAAGAATTGAAACTGGGCATTATTATGGTATTAAAAGGTGAAAAAAACAAATAAAATAACTTTAAAAATAATACCTGCTTGCTTTCATACAAAATTTAAACTTTCAACTGATTTTATTTGTAAAAATAACACATAGCAGTGTAACCGTAGGGCATTCACATCTGGTCACACTCGGCCATGCCAAAATATATGCCACATTTTGCTATCAAAACGACTGGAATTTCGTGTCTATCGACTCATCACTTGCCCCCATCGATAACATATTCCACGAAAATTTGGTCCGTCGAGCGTGTGTACGTTTGTGAACTTTTTCGTTTAAACCTTTTTTACAATAAAAGCAAGGATTAAAAACTGTCCAATCTTGTAGAAAATTTATTCATCAATGGGATAAAACTATGTGGGCATTGCTGAGATATTTAGTTAGTCAGCATTATTCAATGGATTATCAAAATTGAGCAATTTCCTTATTCGTTTGTTTTGATTGACCTATTTCGCTACTTGTTTTTTGTTTGACTTATTTCGCTAAAACCTCTTTTTACGCAAAATGCAATAAAAGCAAGTGGTTAAAATAAGCCAGTTAAGTACAAAATTGATTCATTAATCGGATAAAATTATGTGGGCATGGCTAAATGTTCTATGTAGCTATTAATGTTCCACAGAAGATCAAAAACGAGGAATATGTAAAATAGATATTGAATTCGTCAGTATATTTACGGTATATTTGGAAAACTAGGCGGTATGTTTCGGTATATTTCCGAGGGTCGGACGGTATATTTTATCGATAAATCCGCGGTCACACTGGTCAAGCGTGTGTGCGCTGTGCTGTTCGTGTACATTTTAATTTCAATTGGTGAAAATTGTTACTAAACCAGCAAGAAAATATGTGAAAATTAATAATAATTGCATTTTCACACTCCAACTGGGCGTGCAGGACTATTTTCGCATAGCCAGATACACAGAAAATAGCTGAAAACAACTAAAATAACAAAGGCGTATACGACGAAACGAAGGCAATAGACGCTCGCTCGCCTCTGTTCGTCCCCGATAGTTGTGTATATATTTAAAATTGTAACTAGTTGGTTTTACGCAGGTGAATTCAGTTAAGTAATTGAGACGCTGGCGAAAAAATAAAGCCAACGCAAAGCGAGCTGACAGCGAATAAAGCGAACAGAAGTACAGTGAACAATTTTCGATTGTCGGCAGCGAACGGCGAAGAAGAAGAAGCAGCCGAAAGTGAACACAGTAAAAAGCCAACAACAACAACGAAAAGCAAGAAAGAGAAACGGTGATACTGCATCTGCATGTGTTCGTGTTTGTGTGTGTATGCGAGAGAGTGGTGGAATATAAACAAAATATAAGAAAAAATAATCTAGAAATAAAGAACAATTGATTACTCCTGAACAAAAAGAAAATGTCACATTTGCCTTTGGATGCACGGGCTATACTGCAGCATTTAAATGAATTGGGCTATAGAAATATATCCGCCGAGCAACTACGTGAATTTCTAAAAGGTAAGCAACCCACAAATTACCCCCCTATCCATCTCCCCCCTCCCCTTTCCCAAAACTGACCGTAGTTCCCGCCATTGCAATGGCTTTGTAGTATATGTACGTGTATTTGACATTTAGTTGTTTTATTTTATGCAAAAGTTTTAGTTTCGGCTTTTTCTTGAATTTCAAACGATTCGTCACCATTTTTATTTGATTTCTTATATCTTTCCTCCCATTCGTACGTTCGTGTGTTTGTGTTTTACAAAAAAAAGAAAGAAAAAAAACGAGAGCAAAAGAAATACGGTGCAATGAAATAAAGAAAACAAAAAACGAGTATTACTCGGAAATTGTGAATAACACACACACGACAAAAAATCCACACAGCAAAAGCGGCGGCGTCCCAAAGTATATGCGGAGGTAGAGACAACAGAATGGCACAGTGGTTGAAATAACAATTTAGTTGTTGTTGGATATGAAACAAGTAAACATGACTGGATGAGCTAGAAACGCCGGTCACAGTGGGACAAATGCCAGTTTTTGTGGAACCAGAATCATAACCATAACCAACGTTTATCATATCAATGCATTAATTTTGATGTGGCGTCGCAGAGCGGGACCAACATTAAATGTTATAAACGTACTAAAACATGGCTGAAAGAGAGCAGTTACTCTTGGCGACCACTGTGCACACACCGTTGTACAGGCCGATTACAAACGCCAAACAGCAACGATTGTTTTTGTTGCTGCCCTGGGCCTGCTTTTCTGCCTCAGTGGTGGCTTGTATATCTTTAACGGTGTGCGTGCGTATGTGTGTAGGGTATGTGTGATTTGTGTGTGTTTCGGCCTCCACCGCATTGCCAGCTTCATCGGCGACTTCACATGAATTTTTATATACGCACGTACATATGTACAGGCGTACATATGTACGTCTGTATATATTTGTATGCTCATGTGTCGCTCTCCTCTTTGCCGAGTTCAAATTGTGCGTTTTTCTGTTTGCTCTTATTTCGTATAGTAGTGTTTTTGTATTATTTTTTTCGCTCTACACTTTGTCCCCTGCTTTCGTTGCCCTGTCCTCTTTTTATTTATTTTCATTTGTGTTGCTGCTGCCGCTGTGGTGAGTTTTTTGTTGTTGCCCATTCCCCACCTTCACCGCACTTGGTTCGTCATGTATTTTTCCTTACGTTTCGTTTCGTTTATTGTAATGGCGCACAAAAAGTGCCAGCGCAGCGTGCTGTGCTTGTTTTTCAGGTTATATAAAAGCTTTTCTTGATAGCCAAATACATAGCCCGAGAAGCGGGCCTAAGTTTGTGGCTCTCCGTGTGGGGGGGATTAGCAATGTTGCCATACTGTTTTGCCAGACCGTGTTGAATATCGGTCGTTGATTATGCCTTTGCCTGTGCTCGCTCATTCGCATTCTTTTTGCTTGGCTAAATCTGCAAATTGCATGGCAACTGCAATAAAGACAAGTTAGCAAAATTCTCTGTCATGGCTGCCTCTCCACCCCACCACACACACGCACCAAAATATATTTGTACGCTGCTGCTGACGAATAGATACATAAACATGTTACTCAGGGCAGAAGCAGAGGGGCAGCCAGAAAGCAGACTCGCAGCCGCACGACAACGCAGACGACGACGACGAACGAGAAAGCAAATAAGACTTTAGTTTTGTGCTGTGCTGTGCTCCATGCCGTGCTGTGTTTGCTAAAAGCATTGCCCTCCATACTCCAAAGAGGGCGGCTGCCGACGACAACGTCGGGAAAAAGCAAGTTTTTTTTTGTGCAGAAGGGGACGAACGTGGCGCGACTTTGTTTAAAATCGATAGCGATATAATCAAAAACGTATCGGCATTTAGGATCAGGTAACGGTGTGGAAATTTAGCTTCAGTTGATTGAATCACCGATCAGTTTTATTCCATGTAAAGCGGATATGTTTAAAAGAAAAATAAATGAAATGAAATACAACAAACGGGTTTTTGAACTGCAGCTGCAGCAAAACAGCTGTCGCAGAACAGTTTTCAACTGGGTGGCAACTCTGCACGCATAGCGTCGCAGCAGCTGGCCGCTGGGGTCGGCCTCCCGTCGCCCCATTTTTAGTTTTGAATTAAAATAAATTAACTCACACTTAATTTCTGTGGTGCACTAAGTTATACATACCCGAAAGTGCTGCAAATGCAAGTTATTGATTCAAAATGTGTATATCAAAATGCGGAATTGCATAACGCGCGCATAGCACATCCGCAAACGCACCCCTCCCACCTCACACACATGTGCTCGAGTCGAAGAAGTAGCAGCGGCAGAGAAAAAGAAGTCAAATTTAAGCAAAAATAATCGACAAATGCGGTATATAACCCATATATAAGAGTATAGGCTAATTTGGACTAAGGATAAGGACGATTTGTATTGATATTCCGTATGCATTTTCTCAACTCCCCTCTCTCTTTCTCTCGTTCTTTTTCTCTAATTCTTGGTCCTTGTGCGGACAGCTAATCTGCGCCTGAAGGTATGCAACCGCAGTCGGATAAGCAAACCGCTAGCAGACTCGCACCAACAACACCAACCACAGCAGCAGCAGCCTCTACTGAGCGGCCAAAAGTAAAGGTCATCAAGAGCAAGCGTCCACTTTGCCATTTCAAGTTCTACTTGGACATTTGCGACCATCAGCTAGCGAAGCGCATCGAGGCGGACATCAAGGCACTCGGCGGCAATCTTGAGTTCTTTCTCAGCGACAGCATCACACATTTTGTCACCGATAAGCCAGAGGCGAGTCTTCCAGGCAACAACGGCACTGGCACCACCCCCCAACCACCCAAAACACCTGCCACACCAGCCACCCCCGGCACACCAGGCACAGGAAGCAGCCATCTCTGCCAGGATGATGGCCAGCATCAAAGGAAAAGCAATAGGCAATCCCGTGCCGATGCCATTTTGAGTCGTGTGCGGCGACAAAACAGCACCGGGAGCACCGCGGTTGGGGTGGGTACTGCCACACCAACATCCACGTCAACAGCCTGCAGCACAACCAGGTCCTACACCATCTGGCAGACGGATCACGCCCAACGCATCTTCAAGCGCATTCAGACGGAACTGCGCCAGTACCTAGAGGGAAAGAAGGAGGGACCAGCAGCAGGAGGAGGTGCAGGAGGAGCATCAAATGTTAATACCCATCAAATACAGCTCAAGAAGCAGTATGTGAAGATCGAATCGGTGAAGCGTAACTACAGGCCCTACTATCATTTGATAAGGCAGCCCGACGATTGGCCAAAAATTGATTTAAGCAGCGACGACGGTGCCTTCCGT